TTACTGAAAAAGCTGTTGTGTGTTTTTGAATCAGAAAATGAAAGAGCAAAGTCTGCACTGTGTGTTTTGTGCTGCTGGATCTTGTTTTCATCTCATTCAGACTTAATTCAGTTCAAAGTTTGTGCTATTTTATACTCATCCTGTTTAGGTAAACTGGTGAGACTCTTTAGCCTGGACATTGAGGATTAGTCCCGCAGTGAAAATGATAAAATACTGCTATCATTTATTTTACTCCTTTACTATTTTTGTTCGCAAACTTTCACACCAAAGAATATCCCCTTTTCTATGATTTCAAGGCAGCAGATAGATTTTTCTTGCCAGCAGCTGTTGTACTATACCAATTCCCCTGAGGGAAACCTTCTCTGTGTTCTAGTTGTTGCAAGTGCTGACTGAGCACAAACATTATTTTGGGGACGCCCAGCCTAACGCGATCACTCTCAATTGTGTGAAAACCCCGTTATTCTTTTAGGGAATTTGAAGCTGTGAAATAGCTGAGATTGGATGCATTGCTTGGATTTATCTCATCCCTCCTCCAGCTGAATGTGCTGTGTGAGGAGCGAGCTGGGAGGCTCAGAGACTGCCAGGCGTTCCACTACTTAGCTATTGATCGGGCTGGTGTACCTTCAAAATCTGCTGGGCTTCGTGATTCACAGGAACCCAGAAGGTTGGGGGGGGGTCCCTAGTCCTATCTGCCCCCGGTGGGTTATGTAACGGCAGTGTGCGGGAAATTAGCGTAATCACTGTATATTCAGATTATGAATATCCAAACAGGGATCATGTTGGTGAAATAAGACCTGTCCGTGTTAATCTCATTTACAGTCATACCTGCTGTAGATTGTGCAAGCTATTAAACAAACCCACACTTTTAACACAAGATCCCGAAAGTTTTCTAAGTTAGTAAATAATATATAAGGCTGAATTACAGCGAATATAAGTGTATGAAATAAAGCTCAAGACATTTAGATACATATTTAATTTCAGGTAATAAGATAAGATGTATTACGTTACAATATGTTACAATATGATACGATAAGATTTAACTTTATTTATCCCGAGGGAAATTGTATGCAACAGTTGCAGTACAACGTAGGAAAGAGTGCAAATATCTCTAGTCCAAATAAACATACATAAACAAGTGTATATATAAAAAATACAGATTATGAATAAGGTTGGAACCAAATGTACACAGTGTATGAAATGTAACTGTGTTTAACATAAATATAAAATCGAGACTATGCCAAAGTAAACAAGTTAACAGTAATGATCACAAAAGTAAGCAAGTTAACAATGAGATGCAGATGTTATATTCTACACAGGTTAACAGTGGTGCTAATAAATATCAATTCAAAAGTACATACAGTGTCAAGATATGAATGGTAAGGATCATAGATGTGTATGAGACTGTGACTTAACTACATATGTCAATCGGAGGTAGTGTAATGTCCATGATATTAATGATTGTAATCTATGGAGAGATAGTAATCCAGAGAGAGAGAGAGAGAGAGGAAGATTAAAATGAACAAAGATGAAGCAGATAATGGAGCTATGTCAGCACCTCATGTCTCTGCTGTCCGTCTCTCAGGCTGGACGAGTTGTAAAGTTTGATTGGTGCAGCTAGAAAAGCGTTGTTGCGTAGGTAGCCCAAAAAAAGAATGTTTGTTACTTAAAGAAACTGTCTGGAAAATATTCTTTCTTGCCAAGACTTACATTAGAGGATTGACACCACTCTTATATCTGCGCGTCCAGTACGGAACTAGAGCCAGCACCTCTAAAGCTCTCGGTTGTTAATTCCTATGCAAACAGAAAACAACAAGCTAGGCTAACGGGCTGAATGGACTCATTGAACTGTCGGCAAGAAAACGAATAAATGTGTTTTCCACAAATGTATTGTTAATTCAAGAGGAAATGTAAGAGAAATGTCTGAGTTCAAAGGTTTAATAATGTGTAAACCTTTAGCTACTCTTTAAGCTAATGCTAGCTAATAGTTATCATACTGTGGTTGCAAAGAATAGTGTTGAATGTTTAAAATACAATACTTCCCTTTTGATTCGACTGTTAATTTGTTGAGAACATTCATTGGCACAGATTATTGTAATTCATTATTGTAACTATTGTAAAAGCTAACAGTAAAGCGTACCATACATTTTCCAGGAGACAATTCAGAATTATGTTTAATATGTATCATTGACGGGTAGGACCTGCATCGACATTAAGTCTAGTTTTATGCCTCCTGCTTTTATGATGCAGGGTTCATGATGAAATGTTTCAGGTTCATTGTGATGAGGAAAAGGTCGCTGTAAGACCTTTCACTCCACGTCTGGTGTAAATTGACTGACATGGCTGAAATGACAAGGGAGCGTTTGAAATGTTTTTCTGTTCCATTCCGCGTCTGGTAAACCCGATTTGAAGTGTCATACTGTTCAGCTTACGCTACCAACAGTCGAGTTCCAACAAAATACACACACAGTTTTATGCAGATGATCTGAGAGCCTAAAATACAATAAAACATTTCCAGGATAATATTTGGATATTTGGTCATTTTAATCAATTTCCAGGCGTTTCCATGACTGGAAAACTAGTCTCCAAATTTCCAGGTTCTCCAGGACGCGTGGAATTCCTGCCTAAGATTAAATATTCATGTTTAAACATATTTTAAAGTGAATCAACTTGTATTGTTTTCACTGTCAATGGAAGTAGAATTTGATGCAAATTAAATGCATATCAGCAAAAAGTAAGCAACAGCAAACTTAATTACTTCTTCCATTATAAATGTGCATGGAAACTGCAGAATTGTGGCAGGGAATGAGACAGGTACTGACTGAGTTATAAGGTAAAAGAAAATGCACACAGATTGCAGTCTACTGGAGTCTGACATCGGGTCAGTATGTATAGGTCGGGGAAATAAAGCGGGGTGACGTGGCCAGGCACATTTGATCCCAGGTCATTATGCTTACGTAGCCCAGTGACAATCACAGTAACAGGAAGGGGCCATTGGCAGTCCCTGAATCCAGGACTGAGAACAACTTTTTTAATTCAGTAGAGTACTGCATTTGATGTAATTAAAAGTAGACAAATGTTAATTCAGCCTTTTTATTTAGTGAAGGCCTTTTAGTGGCTCTGTAGTATTTGTTTACCATATTATTTAAACAATGCTACAAAATGGATACCTTTTTGGATGCTTAAAGAATTAACTAATGAGCATTTTTGAGTATTCAAAATGTGTGTGACATAACAGAACCTCCAGAGAACTAACTTTGACCAAACCACACCAAATCAACAAAGACAAGGTTACACCTACCAGACATTCTCTTAAGCTCTCAGCCACATTATGTGGCTTTCATCAGCAGAATAGCAGTAAGGGGGTCTGCTAAAATGTATATTTCCATGGTTAACATGCCTCCAACTCAACTTTTAATTCAACATGGACAAGATGTCAACAATGCTCAGACATTAGCACAGTGACCTCTACATGCTGGAAATATACAGAAATGCACAATAATTAAAGTCCCCCTCCACTACAATATGTTTCTCTTCTTCTTCCTACAGTGTGATTTTTGATCTTCACTGTGCAGGATGATGTATGCGCAGAATTTGACACTAAAAGGATGTTTTCACATCCATCTGCTGAAAGTGGAAAGTTTCTCTGTGCTCATGGAAAATCAGAGTTTAAGGGGCGGGGCCTATGAGCATGATTTGTGACATCACAAATAGTTTGGAGGTCAGTCCTTGTCCAGTATGCAACTTGTACAGTGTGATGCAGAAACTGGAATCCACCAGTGAGCATACATTGAGACTTTACAGTGAGGAAGGAAACATCTTGTGTCCAGCTGGAAAAATGTGCATATTCAGAGATTCTGGAATTTTTAATAAGGTTGAAGGAATAGATGCTTTTTTAAGGATTTTAACGTGGAAGTTATACTCTTTTTTTCTTTCCATAAAAAACATGTCAGACACACCTTAATGTTCCAAGCAGACTATTTGTATATGTCTTAATACAGTCTGGAGGGGATTTTTAAGTTGTCAGTGAGGTCAATAAAAGCAAACACAATTTTGAGAAAATTCACAGTGCCAGTGCACCCCGATGGGTTTGGAAGAAAAAAACAAAATTTATGGCAACGTTTGGCCCCACCAGCCTGCTAGAGACTCTGAGCTCAGACACCTGCCAGCCCAGAGCTGAGCCAAGCTGGGTCACCAGTCTCGGAGGCCTCGTCAAACTGAGGGAGATGCCTGCTGAAGACAAAATCGAAGGCCGGAGGCGAGCCGAGCTGGTTCAGCAGTCTGCGGGTCCTCGTGAAGCAGAGAGAGCAGTGGAGAGGGAAAGCTGAGGCACTTCATTCCCTGTCATAGCAGAGTACAACCAAACCTCTGCCTGAAACTCACAATTATTCATGAATCATTTTAATACAAATCTTTAATAAAAATAATAATTTGTTGTCCTTTGTTTTTGTATTACCATACCGTTTGTATTTGCATTAAAAGAATTACAAGCTATATACAATTTTATACATTTTCCAGTGTTTTTATACTTTGACCTGTGGCAGTGAAAGTCTAAAACAACATGGGAGTAAAAACATGACTTTAGTACAGAAAATGCTGTTCCCCTGTCAGTCTGTATATGTTTTCATGCAAAATATGACTATGATTAGTTTGCAGAAGATGTAACATGAGTGACAGGACAGTCGCTGAGTCATTGAGCACCTCCTGCTGTCCAAAAAAACCTTTGCTTGCAACTGCAAGACACACTGCATGTTGACAGTAAAAGTTGGCTGTCTTTTATCAGCTTCCACCACAAGAGGGCAACATTGCTGAGGAGATTAGTGTGGTACTTTTGACTCTCATGGTTCACCTATCTGCCAGCATTACAAAGAGCCAGTTAGGAGGTCAGAGGTCACACATGATCCCCCTCTGATCATGTATGATAGAGAAGAAGTACATACACATGTACATTTCAGCATGTTTTACAGATTGGAGTGTGTTTAACATATATTTGTCTTTCGCAGGGTTTGACATTGGGGGTCAAGTGGCCATTGGGTTCTCCCACTGGAAGAGTCCTTTCCCAGGGAACGGCCAGAATCTCCCCAGTCCAGACTGCGTTCGCTCTGAGGCCTCTGCCGTCCCGCCCATCAGCGAGCATCTCGAGCCCGTGTCCTGCCCGGCGTCACTGTCAATCACCCCGCTGCCCACGCTCAGTGCCAGTCAGGAGACGCTCTGCGACAGCAGCACGAGTATGTAGAGTGCAGTACAATAAGACCTCAGTTTACTGCAGCAGTACACTGACATTTAAATAGCTTATCAATAATATATATATATATAGGTGTTTATCAGAAACAGAATCAGAAATACTTTAATGATCCCAGGGGGAAATTATTTTTGTTACAAACTCCAGATTATACAAACAACATATATTAAGAACAAAATCTAAATATATATATATAACTATATATATATAAAAGATCAAATGTACAGTTTAATAATGTGCAAAAAGTGCAAAAAATTATTGTCCGCGTTTGAGTCAGGTTACAGAGCAGGGGGGTATCTGACTCTCTTAGGGAGACGTTATAGAGTTTAATGACCACAGGCAGGAATGATTTCCTGTGGCGCTCTGTGGTGCATCTGGGTGAGGAGTCTTCTGCTGAAGGTGCTCCTCTGCTAGGCCAGTGTGTCGTAGAGAGGGTGTGTGACATTGAACATTAAACATATATATATATATATTATATAGTATATTAGGGATAGGCAACATTAGGGACTTCTTATTGATACGACTCGCCATAATTTGGTGCACAAAATAAAGACATGACATAAAGATTTACTGTATTGTATTGTTACTTTTTTGCAGAAATAAGTTCCAGAGTTTAGTTGCATTTTCATTAAATTTAGTGAAGTTTCGAACATTTTGTCATATCAGCTGTTCATGTAATGTTACATAACTACCAGTAGCATCGTCTGTTCAGGAGCTTCATATAGATTTTTTTTAGGAACTGACCAGTCAGGAACCGAAACCCGTTTAGCGTCCCTATATGTATATACTGGCATAAACATAAAAGCTCTCAATAGTCCACAAAAAAAAATGCCAATCATTATTGTAAAATTTCTTTCAGTGTGTCTGAAAATAGTACTCATATGCCCATATAAAGAGTCAGTGGTTGCTGTAGTTGTTTCTCCTGTCCTTATTGGCCCCAAAGACATTAGTGATATGAGGCTTAAGTAGTCTTAGACAAATATTATTATATCTATTATTATTAGACAAATCAAATATATATATTCCCAAGTTAGTGTCTTTTCTGAGCTGCAGTGGATGAACAGTAACACAAAGAAATAATTATGAACTAAAAGGACTTTATGTGTGTAACAGACTGCTGAAGCCTCATATTGGCTGAATTAAAGGACCAGTGTGTAGGATTTAATGGTCTCTAGCAGTGAAGTTGCAGATTGCAACCATTTGAATACAGCTCAGCCTCCCAAGCATGTAGGAGAAACTACGGTGGCCACGAAAAGCTCAAAAAGGCCCCATCTAGAGCCAGTGTTTGGTTTGTCCATTCCGGGCTACTGTAGACACTGTATAAGAGGACCCATTCCCTCTGTAGATATTAACGGCTCTTTCTAAGCTAATAAAAACAAACTTGTAATTTGCAAATTATTATGCACTAATAAAAACATAGCTCTGAATATTATATTTAATTTCTTTACTTAGACTGAAACTGATTTACAGCAGGGCCAGTATGGACAGGAGGAATGGTTCATCTTTGAACTGTTTTAGGATACATTTGAAAAAATGTGGACCTGTCCTGTATATATTTATATTTTATACTTATTGACAAAAAATATAAAATATAAATATATACAGGACAGGTCTGTTTGTGTGTGTGTGTGTGTGTGTGTGTGTGTGTGTGTGTGTGTGTGTGTGTGTGTGTGTGTGTGTGTGTGTGTGTGTGCCCTTGAGTCTCCATCAGAGGATCACACTATCATCAGTGCCAACTGTCATTGTTTTGGGCTACAGCAACACTGACACAACCAGCCCTTTTTCCCGATTGGCTGCTTCCAGAGCAGCTTGACCTCTGATTGGCTGCCAGGGAAGGCTGATTAAGAATGCCGATGAGCGGCATGCACCTCCTCTCTCTCTCTCTCTCATTCTCTCTCTCTCTCTCATTCTCTCTCTCTCTCTCACACTCTCTCTCACTGTAAACATCCTGCTCATGCTTGTGTTTTTTTCTCTCCAGCGAAGATCTTTGACAGCTTTTGTGAAGCTTTTCTGCTGCCTGCTCTCAGCAGCTACGCTATGAAAGATGCGTCTGTGTGAGTGTATGTGTTGGCGTGTATAGCTATGTCGGATCGACAGATGCTGTGATGAGGAGTAAGGAGTAAAAAGTGGGAATGCTGCTTTCCCTCGTGGGACGTCGTGTTTGTTTGTTTTCCTCAGCGAGGTCATTTTCACGCTGGGGCTGGGGGGTGAGGAGGGGTGACCGCTGTGTGTGTGCGTGCGTGTGTATGGGGAAGAGTCTTCTGGCTGTTTTGGCGTCTGCTGCGGCTGCTGGGAAGCCCCCCCCTTCTCTCTCTCTCTCTCTTCCCCTCTGAGGGGTGAAGCAGCCTCTCTACCTCTCTCCACCTTCACACGGTGAGTCTCGTCAAGTTGTCTTGAAGCAAAGGCAGCTTGTTCTCCAGAGTGGATGTTTTCTTTTTGCTGCAGTGCTCTCTCTCATGTGTTGCCTTGTGTCCTACTCACACTCCTCTTTACGCTGCTTCATCTCTTTCACGCAGTTCCCTGTGGCCATGCAAGCATTTGACCTTCACACACACACACACTCTCATTTTCTCCCCGAGCTGTCCCCCTCTTCTCTTGATTTTGAATGTAAATTTTTTCCTCTACTTCTTCATCCTCCATGATGTATCAGTTGTAACACACAAATGGGTCATGCATCTACGAGGAGTGTGTGCGCACAGCTGTGTGCGCGCTGCGACCCTGCCATCTAGGCACCAGTAGCAGGTTGGCAGGCGCTAAATCCCCACTGCTTGCCGTCAGGGAGAACATGCAACCCCCCCGTCCATCCTAGGGCATGATGGGTGCATCCAGATGGAACGAACGATTCCTCCTCACAAGTGACTGACACCTGATCCCCTTGGCAACATTTCACACACCCCCACCACCTCCCATTCCTTTTCCCATTCCCCCTGCAGTCTTTTATTCTCTTCTCAGTGGGAGTTGTCATCTCCAGGTTGGGTTGTGCGCAAGGAACCACGTTGTTATTAAAAGGGCAAAGATAAAATTAATGGGGCTTTATTTATCAAATAAGCAAATGATGAAACCGGGACTTGAGTCCAAACGCACAATCATGTAGTTGTTCATATGTCAACTGTAATAATATACTACGTATAGACATAATTTCCTGCTTCTTATATTGTGGTACTGCAGGCTAACTGTGTGACAAATTAATAGCCAAACCAAATGTATTTAAAAGGCACACAGTGATTTAGTATTGCACTTGAAGTCGGGTCCTTGTGAGAAGCTGGTTTTAAAAAAATTGGTGCAACAGAGGCTAAAATATCCCAACTTTTAGTCACTATAATGGGTCAAACACTGGATCCTACACCTCCCATAATGCAACTCTGTAGCATCTGAGATCTTGTCAGATCTTCATCTGCCTGATGAGCGGCCACGTCTTTATAACTAACAGCTTTGTGTGAAAAAATGGAAGTCTCTAAAGCAAATCGAAGATAACCTTGATGACATCATCAGGGTCAATGAACTTGTGCTCAGACGGAAAGTGAAGCAAAGTTTCGCTCCATGTCATTCGCGCAAATTTGACTGCTGGACTGTTTGTACAGTCCATGTTTATTTGCCCCAAACAGCCAACGTACTAACTGTACAGACGTCAGATGTGAGCTATTATTAAGTTGATTGATAAAAGCACGGAATAAGCGAAAAATGTTCAAACTGAATTTGTGCGACCCAGGCGAGATCGATTATAGGATTATATTTTTAGTTGTGCTACAGGTTCCCAGTCCCAGAATCAAACTGTGGCTGTTTGGGTTTTGTGGTATGCACCATAACCGTGTCTTTCCATTCGCTTTGTGATATATGCAGAAAAACAGTATGTTTGCAGCAAATATGAAAGCAGCAATTCAGTCAAGGCGGTTTTATTGGGGGATGTTGTTAAGTAAGCATTTAGGAGTGAACAAGATCTCAGAAACTACATTTCTTTATTTGCCATAAGCTTTTACAGATTCTGGCTCTAAAAGTATTTTATCACATTCAAATCCAGTGTGGATCCACTTCCTTGCAACATCTGTAAGTAACTAAAGTTACCTAATACTCCCTAACCGCACACTCAACTGTCTGTAATCACATTTTGTTGACGGAGAAGGCGGAAACAGCAGCTACAACCTGAAAATGAGATGAGCAGCACAAGATATGAAATGCTGATTAAATATGTATGTTACACACTGAAATAACAGGCTCAGCCTACTTACTTCTGCACAGAGAATTTTGAAAGAGCTACTCGCTCCAAATTCTAGAGGTCTGTGGGAACTACTGAGTTACTGTGTTTAAATTTTTCACAAGATATACTATACATGAAAGGAGAATCAGACTACTGACACTGACACAATGGGATCAGCTAGATCATTTTAGAAGAGAAGACTCACTCTGTTGGTCTTTTAAACTGCACAATAACACAGCGAATAAATTAATTACACAGCCACACATGCATTTTTAAACTGAATTGAACAAAATGATACAAATCAGCAAGTGATTTGTAATTTCATCTAGCAAACTAAGACCTGAATGATCTCGAGTTCGTGGACATCAAAACAGATCTAACGCGTGTCGAAACTTGACTTATGTTCATCAGGTGGATAAATGAATGGTTCATGCCTGTTGAATGTGTAAATAGGCAATTGCTTCCACACCCGCAATTCCAATGGTTCAACCTTGTATATGAAAAGGACAAAAAGTGGAAATACGCACCGCTGTTATTCTATTCAAAGCATCAATTCAACATGGATGTTAATTATACAGAGTAGCCCTCTCGACAGTTTTCTCCCTTTAGGTAGCCCTCGCTGTCAGAAAGGTTGGAGGCCCCTGGGGCAGATTCTGGAAGTCAGGGAGAGTCTCTATCTTGGCAAGCAGCTTTATTCTTTTTCAACAAAACCTGCTCAAAGGTAAATAATATTGCCTGTAGTGACCGTAAATGTTTGATCATGTGCTGGTAAATGATCAGCCATGATGAAGCATTCAAAAAATATCAGAACAGTTCTGTTAGCTAACATTACTGTAGCTAAGATTAGCTATTTGTTAGCTCCCACAAATTTGAAGGACCGTTCATTGTAGGTGGCGTGTATTTCCTAATATTTGTAGTGCATTGCTATGAATTGAAAGTTGTAAGTAGAAAGAATGAGGGAAAAAAAGATATATCATATATCATATCAGATAGATATTGAAACACCTTAAGTTGTACAGTAACTGAGATCCAAACAGTCTGTTACACTTGTGTGCTGCCAAGTCTTCAGTACCATGTGACCTCAGCGGTGGCTTAGGTTGCAGACGTACCATGGGGCTGTTAAAGTTTGATGGATACATTGTTTGACTGGCCACGGTCTCGGCACTGCAGCGTGATGTAGGCTAATATGTAGTGTGTCAGTCCTCTGAGAGCCAGCATTTATAGGAAGCAATTCTCTCTCCCTTTAATGAGAGCGGCGTTGGGAGCGCTGTGGGTCGCTGAGGACGCTGTCGGTGAGCGTGTTGAATACGAGGAGGTGAAGTTAACAAGTTAATGCTGTTGATCCCCATAGTGCAATCTTTTAAGTCTTTGAATTTCCAGGCTCTGTTTCATTAACATACAGTAGAATGCATTAAACCATAGGCTCTGTTCTACTTGAAAATGAAATGCCACTGGATATGTTATCAGCTTCATCTCTTGAGAAATTCAGATTCATGTGAATGTTTTCTCTGCCCCTCCTCTCTAACCACTCCAGCTCCTGTTTGGATAGCTAAACCTCGGTATAGTGAAATATTTACTGCCACTAAAATGAGTAAAGGAAGAGGACGCTGAGCACTGATTTTCCACTGGTATGAAATTCATTGCATTTCCATTAGCTGCATCCATAGGCTCCAATGTTCCAAAGCATCATTGGCTGATTAAGAGCCGAGACGCTTCCCCAACCTCTATCTCTGTCCCCGGTACTACGGCTCAGCAGAAAATTTTTGCTGAGTCACCTTTCGTGTCACAAACGTAAATTCAGCATGCAGACCTCCAAGACAGCCACCCACCTCTACTGAAGTCTTCCTGCTCTCCAGGGGACTGAAAGTAAGAGATACAGACCAATTTAGATTTTTAAGCTGTTTTGCTTAGCTTTTAATAATTTCTGACCCCCAAAGGACATAGTCTGGTTGACAAATAGACCCAATTAGTGTGTGTGTTCCCATGGAGAGGTTCTTTCATTTCAAGTTCTTTCAAGGTTAATCCCTTTTAAGGAGATAAAAGTTACTGAGCTGTCATTTTCTGTTTCCTTTTCTGTCTTTGACTTAAACACATCTCTCTTCCTTCTTTTATCTGTCTTAGTCTCTATTTTCATGCTTCTCTTTTCATTACATATTTTTTGCTTTTACACTATTAGCAACAACCCAGGGTAAAGGTTTGTGATAGTTTGAATGATTACCTAACCTCTCTGAACCTGCTTTTTTTGACTGCCAAGATGGACTTCGAACTTAACTAACAAAGCTTGTAACAAAACAATCAAAATGTATTTTTTAATCAGAAACTCCGGCCTAAAACTGCTTCCATGGTTCTGGCTCAGTTCGGACATGCACAGTTTTTTCGGGCTCATGTTGGGCCTGAGAAATTAGTTAATGCAGGTTTAAAAAGTCTAACGGCATTCGAGTCGTGTATGAGCAAAACCAAAACTTATTACAGTGTCATTGTGAAAGTAGTCCTGGGATTTAACGTTGTGTTATTTTTTTAAATTTCTTTTATTTCTGGTATTGAAGTTGGTGCAAGTGAAAATAGAAGCAGAGTTGTTGGCACAGGTCTTGTATAAATGGCGACAACCTAGAACCAATGATCTGTTCAGAGTAGTTGACAGTAAGTCTATGTGTTAAAGGGGTTTGAAAGTGGTTTTTACTGCTCAACCACAAGGCACTTATGGTTGACAGATTGTCTGATCAAGACTAATGACTCAGTCGATACTTGTCTAGTTGCTGTCATAAGTCAACTTACTGTATGCTCCTTTTCACCCTCATCAAGTCCTTTTAGGAATCCTAATTTCTATACTGTACACAGACTGATTGTACCAGAGTGTCAGGAAGTGTAAAGAAAGGTTAAAAGGTTGTCTGTGTCTTATAGGCGTGAGTTTATCTCTACATGGGTTTGAGCCCAAGCGGCGGAGCCCCCACCGACGCAGAGTCCTGCTGCAGGCCTCGGCCTCAGGCTACCAGGCAGCGGACAGACATCTCACATTCTCCTCCTGTGGGAAGGCCGACATCATGGAGGAGTCCTCAGTTGAAGCCCCGGACTCCAGCTCTCAAGACGATGTGCCTCCTCTCGGTGAGACCCAGAGCAGGGCTTGAAATTTCTGTACACTTCTTAATTTGTTCAACTTGTTGGCTTTATGTGGCTGTCCAGTCAGTTCAGTTAAATTCAGTTTTATTTGTATAGAGCCAAATCATAACTCTCAGGACACTTTTCAAGTAGAGCAAGTTTAGGCCGTACTCCTTATAAAATTATTTACAGAGACCCAACAATTCCCACCATGAGCAAGCAGGAAAAGCGTCCAACAGTGTTGATGGGAAACGTAGTCAATTGAAGCAATAAATTCCTCAGCATGTGCTATATTGACTGAGACAGTTCTCCTGCTTATGGCGCCGTGTCGGCAGTGCCTGCGTGTATCAGGAGGCACTGCACACAAGCTTCTCACTCTGTTGCTCTGTATGACCACCCTAGCCTAGAGCCCTCTCGACCCTGTTGGTCTTGGTTGTCTTTTCAAGTTTATTTTGGGGATCCTGAGGAAGCACCTCTGTCCATGTGAGGAGTATGAATAGTAACACAGATACAGGCTCTTTGTTGTTGCATATTTCCTGTAAATAAATGAGCAAAATGCTTGTCAGGTGAAATGGTTCTGCTCAGCAGGTGCCATTATGATAAAATAATAGACAACCCCTTCTGGCTTGAAAGAGCCTTCTAAATGTAAAATGCAAACCCACAAACTCTCATCAAGCTGACGAGATGGTGACCAAAGTTAAGCATTAAGCGGCTAAAGAGAGATATTTTCTCAGAGGTTGGTGGAGACCAAAACAGAGCTAAAGGGAGAGTGAATATTGGACTGACATTCATCAGGTGGACAGAAACATGACTTCAAAATAATGCCAATGTTGTTCTGTGTCTGTAAGCTGTGTAAATATTCATCCAGCAGACTGGTGACTAGCATTCCCTGTAATATTACTTTTATACACTCTGCTCATCTTCCCTCCAGCTGTGAAGGGTGTTAATGTGCTGCTTGGGAGACAAAGGTCAGAAGGCATCAGCAGCCCGTCCAGAGACGACGACTCCACCCTGCTGAACCAGGGAACCCACAGCAGCATCCTTGATGACAACACAAAGTCCGATTCTAGCCTCCCACAGGTCAGTGGTGGAACTAACTCTCTGGGCTCCCGTCATTGCTCCTTTCATCCCAGCTGGAGTTTTGGACAGGAGTAGTTAGTGCATGACAAACAAGGTGGATGCTTCCTCTCAATGGCCAGTTACTATTCTTTGCTGATTCTCTCTCTGTTGTCTGTCTGTCTGTTTGCTGTCAGGCGAGGAGTAAGTCCAGCGGCCTTTGCTTCGCTGATGGAAAGAGCCGCATTGACTACATCCTGGTTTACAGGAAGTCAAGCTCGCAGTCAGAGAAGAGGGAGATATTTGAGCGGAACATCCGTGCAGAGGGTTTACAGATGGAAAAGGAGGTGAAGAACATTACTCTAGATGTTTATTTCATTATGTTGACAAAGTTTCAGCTAAATCATAATGTCATATAATGTCAGTAGGCTATAGAGTTGCAAAAGAATACTGTGTGTTCTCTTCCAGTTGGTTTTGGATTAAATTTGTAAATTTTGTATTCAAAATGTCACAAATGAACAAATGCAATTCTCAAGTTACAGTTAAATCTCAAACCTGCATTAATTGACTTATTACAACAAGTTATAAACACAACATTGACATATTTTCATCTTATAAAGTTGATAAGACAAACGTGTTAGCCAGCAGTTGACTAATTACACATCCAGCAGATGTACAGCAACATTAGCATTCATTCGGGGTGGTGTTTCTCACCACCTAAATAATGTAAGTACAATATTCACTCTTCTTTTAGCTCAATATGTGCTGAAAATATGTGCTGCCTGCTTCGGCAGGAGACAATATTGATAAAGAGCAACGACACCACTCAACCAAAGCAAGTTGCGGACCGTCAAACAAAAACAATAAGGCTAAAAAACACTAACACGCATTGCAGAGCTCCACAGGGCTGCAGAGTTGGGTTGAAATTTTTTGTGGGTTCATCACTACAAGCAACCACTTACGCATAGTCATTTGATTAATTGTGTATATGGAAATATTGATTGGAGCAGCTTTAAAATTAGTTGTCTGGCCACCAGCCCAAAAAAACAAATAGCTTTAAATTTACAATGACATGTATGTACTTTAATGTAAGAAAGCAAGAAAATATTAATATTTGAAAAATGTTAAATATTTAACCACTTGATATGTTCAAATCAAAATAAAAAATAGAGATGGTCATTGATTAATATAATGTTTTTTTCTTTCCCTCCATTAAAGAGAGGCCTGTGGTCAGGTTTAGCTACAGAGCAGCACTCCATCAGCTGATGGGGATTAAGTGTCTTACTCAAGGGCACCTCAGCAGGGTGGAAGCTATAATCACAGGGCTCCACCTGAAGAATGGCCTTTACAGTATTATCATATCAGGCCACCATCTGTGTGTTCATAAAAACTGTCTTTGCTCTCACTGCTCAGTAAAGGGTTTTTTTTTACTCTCTGGCCATATTTTCAAGCAAAAATAGCTACTTCTTTGAAAGCTGATAATTGCAAATGCACAAGAAGCTTGATAGTTTCCTGTTCTGATGGACAATTAGCCTTGCTGTGATTACTTTGGCAAACCTGCAGCTGCATTCAGAGTGGGAAACATGAGCAACATCAAACCAATTTGTGTGAAGAAGAAATTTAATGCTCAGTCCTGTAATGCATGTAATCTCAATGGCCAGATTGCTGAATTTTAAAATGCTCTGAGCCTCTTGTGCCAAGTCTTATAAGGTCTGACAGCTGAGTGCTGTTGTGGCATTCATGGTGAGCCACCACTTAGAGCCAAAACAAATGTGCTGATGGCAGTTTTCTCCCGTGCTGCTCTTTAATGTTTAAAAAGTGGCCATTTACAGAGTGGAAATGTGGATGTTGTTATTTGTGTGCATGTGTATGTTAACTGCTGATGCAGTAGCATCAGGGTCATCATTATCTAGAACATGCAGGGGAAGTCAATGCTTCTTGTCTCCTTCAACAGCCCACTTGTGTGTGTTTCTTGTGTGGAGTCATGGAGTCGTTATTTTTAGGTCTCTATCTAGTTAGCTCCTGGTTCATGTACCTTTAGACTGACTCCTACTCTGTCGGGCAGTACAGGTGAACCTAGCAAACATATTGATGTTGAAGAGTGTTCAACAATGTTAAAGACGCTGTCTGCACTGACATGATATTTTATAGTCCTCCCTATTTTAATTATCTTACTTTCTTTGCTAAAATAAAATGGTTTGTGTGTGGGTTTGGTTTCTTTACAGGCTTCTATAACAAACAGTGACGTGATTTTTCTGAAGCTTCATGCGCCATGGGATGTTCTGTGTCGCTACGCAGAGCTCATGAACATTCGCATGCCTTTTAGGTGAGACAACAAACCCTCTTTAAAGTAATACTGGAAAAAAACCTTAAAGGTACCCCATGGACTTTTCTTGTAAACAAACATTTAAACATAAAGATCTAGTGTGTAACATTTAGGAGGATCTATTGGCAGAAATGGAATATAATATTTATTGGTATGTTTTTATTAGTGTATAATCACCTGAATATAAGAATTGTTGTGTTACCTTAGAATGAGCCATTTTTATCTACAGAGGAAGTGGGTCCTCTTCTGCGGAGGGCGCCATGTTGAACCGCCATGTTTGTACAGTAGCCCAGAACTGACTAACACAACAGTGACAACACTGGCTGTAGATAAGGCCTTTTGGTTTCACGACCACCATAGTTGGTCCTTTAAATCCTGTACTGTTTACATCCAGGTTTGCTAGCTTGTAGTCTTCTTCACTGCCTTGGTTGATGCATTGTGGCGCGTCTTTGCGCCACCAACTGTCAATCAAAAGAATAGTGTGAGAAATAGGTATCAATCCAGCAACAATCCAAACAGGGGCCTATTTGTCATAAAAACGTGTCATTGCTCCACAGCGCTACCAGTGGTCGAAAAACTCCAGTGGGTACCTTTAATGTTTGTATTATTATTAGTATTATCATATTTATTATTTGCAGCAATATAATGATATCGAACTGATGCTTGTAGCAGCAGTAGAAGCAGTAATAGTAATGGTAATATCAGTAGTACATTGTTGTTATCCTCATTACTGAACTGTACTGAGTGCTAAGTTAATTACTCTCAACGTCCTACATATTCCAGGAGGAAAATCTTTTTCATGCATCGACGGCACAAGTTCATGAACAGGTGAGTGTTCAGCCAAAGAGGCAATATGATTTCAGCTGACGAAGCAAACTCAGCTCTGGCAGCTTTAACAGACACTTAATTTGCAGGATGGAGAAGCGCATCAACAAATTTCGTGGGTGGCTTCCCCGCAAGCCTATGAAGTTTGACGACACTCTGCCCGACCTGGAGGAGAACGAGAGTTTTACTGCCCCCTTCAGTCGATCGAGGATACATCAGTGAGTTTTTACGTAACTGCCCTTTAAAAACGAATCCCTGAGAAATGACATGAACTTTACATTACACTGCTGCCTGGTACATTTTCCCTCTTTTGTACTTTTGCCACTTTTCTCTGCTCCCTTTCTCATACAAATTGGTACACTACACACACACACACACGCACACACACACACACACACACACACACACACACACACACACACACACACACACACACAAATCATTCAGACAGATTTGTAATAACTGGTTCATTTCACTGCAGTTTCATCATCCACAACAAAGACACTTTTTTCAACAACGCCACCAGAAGTCGCATTGTCCACCACATCCTCCAGCGGGTCAAATATGAGGAGGGTAAAAATAAGATGGGTGAGTTTTCTCCTGGGCATTATGACAAATTCTACTGTCGAAATGTTTTGAATTAAAAGGAAATGGATGCTAACTTGGGAAGAGGTGCAGAAAGAAAATGGTAGAAATATAGTAATTGGCATTTAGTGTGCATCACTGGATTTTTAACCAGCTCTTTGTCCCACTACACCCTTATTTTTGCAGTTAGTACAAATGTGTTATTTTATGTTCTTCTCTTTTAGCATCAATAAATTGACCTTGTAAGGGTCTGTGTTTGCTAGGGCTTTGACCTTTTTCTACAAATCAAGTTTCAACAAATTTAAACATGTCATTTTTTAAATTAATTCTAAAAGCAACCTTTATAGCCTGAGCTTTAACTATGTTGTAGAGTTGATGCTTTGTCCCTCCACAAGCTAATGTCACTGTAATGCAGTTTAGTTATAAACAGCCCTATAGTACCTTTATCCAAGATTTTAACATCTATTGTGTTAAATTCAAACTCACATTACTTTGCATATGGTTGGGTGTTATGATCATTTATTTAGATAGCTAGTTTAATCCAATTCAAATTGCAGATCAATAGCATAGTTAACTGATATGGCATGCCAACGCAGTACATGGCGAGTAAAGAGGTAACAGACCTATTATCTGCTATACTGCTTGACAGACAGCATCAGATATTTGTTGATCTCCTTTCACAATTCTGTTTTTGATTCCAGGACTTAATCGTCTTTTGAGCAACAATTCATATGAGGCAGCTTTCCCTCTTCATGAGGTAATCTTCCAGATCTTCAGAAAGCCAGTCGTGAATTCAATTCTGCCACCTGTTTTTAAGTCATAAATGCTTTCTGCATCATGTATGAAACCATGGATTCCATATGCTGATACTACCCCTTATGTTTCTCCATGTCTGTGTACGTGTGTGTGTGGACGGTAACAGGGGAAATACCACAGCAAGAACTCCATCAGAACACACGGAGCAGAGAACCACCGGCACCTGTTGTACGAGTGTTGGGCCTGGTGGGGGGTTTGGTACAAGTACCAACCGCTGGACCTCATCAGGTAACTGCATTACGACATTTAAAGAGATTTAAATATCACATATAAAATCTAAACGTAATGGCAGGCAGAAGTAGCAGCAGTAATCCATTACCTTCCTTTGGATTTTGTTTTATTCTGACCCAGTGAGTAAGCTGACTTTGAATAGATGTTTAACAACAGGCTGCAATTGTCCACAGCCTCTCGATGAACTTTAAGACATCAGAATATAAATCTGCTGTTTTACCAGATACAGTAAATTTTTCTGTTTATGTTTTTTAAGTATTTTTAAGGACACTCGTTCCTCTTATGCTCTGCTGTTGTTTCAGGAGGTATTTCGGGGAGAAGATCGGTCTGTACTTCGCCTGGCTCGGCTGGTACACAGGGATGCTGTTTCCTGCCGCTCTGGTTGGCCTCTTTGTATTCCTGTACGGCATCTTCACTCTGGAGCACTGCCAGGTCAGGTAAACACACCTCCTCTTTTTTTTATGACAAATAAGTGTGGCTAGAGCTGGTAGTTGTGTTGTATTTGAAGCATTTCAAAAACACAAATAAGAACAAGCCTTATCTGCCTTAAATAGATTTGTATGCTGTGCATACTTAATAAGTACAGATCAGGTACTCAGCTTATTTATTGAAAAAGTTAAGTCACTCTTCTTAATGAAAAACTAATTTGGTATTACAGTTAAGGCAACGGAGTGTGAAATTATCCCATGTAACTTATTGGATGCTTGTTAAAAGAATAAAGTAAATTAAACTTCAGAATTCTCTGGTTAGAATAACTGCTTCGTGAATGCAAACGTGCTCTGTCTGTGTAAGATTGTAAGAGTCTGAAACAGTGCCGCTGAATGTGTGGACAAACACTTTTTCAGAAGAAGATCATAACTTTATCAACAATTTGCATATAAAAACTCAACAGATACACACGTGCAGTGCGGTACGTGCATGAATTTGGGCTTTTACTATGTTGCCCAAAGGCAAAGTCACTGTTGCTGGACATTGTAATATCAACTTTACCAGAGTTTGATGGGCTAAATGTTGTTCTCCAGTAAAGAAATCTGCCAGGCCACTGACATCATCATGTGCCCCATCTGTGACCAGTACTGCCCCTACCTGAGACTGTCAGACAGCTGCATCTATGCCAAGGTACTGTCTCCACAGCGAGGGAACAAACTGTACCAGCAGCTGTTGTGCACTTTGTTACTGTACTCATGGAAAATGAAAGATTAACAGTCAGTCAAGGTGTCATCATGTGTTTGATTCAGAATGTTTGTGGTCTTGAAGGGATTGATTGAAGCTAAACTGTTATAAAGATGAATATTAACTGTGGACTTCAGTCTTCCTTTCTTCTTCTCAGGTCACCCATCTCTTCGACAACGGGGCAACGGTTTTCTTTGCGGTATTCATGGCTGTTTGGGGTAAGTTTAACAGTTTACATTGCTCCACAAACTTCACAGGTGTTTGTCCTTGTTGCTAACATTGTCTGCTGTTTGGTGCTAGGCAGGTAGCGTACAGCAGGTGTACAAGAGCTTTAATACTAAATTAAAACAGCTGCTTTCTGCTCTTTATGAGAGCGGTGAGACTGAATCAGAACATTAAAGTTGTGGGCCGTGAAACACAAACAATGAGCTGAAAGTTTTGCTGAATTAGGTAACAACTGTCTGCTGGTTCGTCATTATGATCGACACCGCATTACACAGTCACTTTATACATTGCGCATATAAAAATATTGATTAGCGCAGCTTTAATTTCATTTTTTATTATTGAAATTATGAAAAAATAAGAGAGATCTCTAAAAACAAAACTATTATCGCTACAGTTAAAAGCATACAGAATTTACACATTGTTTAAAAAAGGTGAATTCATTATATTTTTTTCTACACATTTTCATTTACTTTTGGTAAATGCCAGGAGGATCAGGAGCCTGTCAGCGCTGGACCAGGTCCCAGGGTATGGAAGGTGCAAACAGAGAGTTTGTGATAGGTTCATATTGTTCAGCTGCTGCGGAGAGGGGAGGTGATGAAGCAGCTTCATTGTCACATAGCTGATAGCTGGCCTGTTTGTAAATGTTAGGGTGGAAGGATGACGGGGCTGAGGAATACAAAAGAAAGGAAGATTAACTGATAGATTCTTTTAAAATGATTTACTTCTATGCATCTGTATATAAAACCAATATCTTTTATTGCAGTTTCATTGATTGGCTATTAAATACTGGCTGCATCCTGCTTCTTAATTTGTGAATTGCTAGCAAAATTTCATTATTTGCCATTTTTTGATCATATGATCGACAGTGAAACTTTATTGATTCATAAAAGTTGAATATTCACCTAAAAAAAATAACTGAAACTATTATCAGCAGACTAAAATGCTCACCAGTGAGTTTGTTAACAGTGCCCGGTTGTTTGAGAGCCTCTTGTACTCTGTTGTCCAATCTCCAACATCTCAGCATGAAGAACAGAGCCAAACACAGCTGGAGGGCAAAGGTCAACACGCCCAGCACGATTATTGTGTTGTTAACTGTTGAGGGTGAAGAAGAAGAATGTGTTGTTAACTGTTGAGGGTGAAGAAGAAGAATGTGTTGTTAACTGTTGAGGGTGAAGAAGAGAGAATGTGGTTTTATAGCTTAACACACTGCAAGGATATTTGTATTGAAACCAAAGGTGTATGCAGCCATTGTTTAAGCTGTACAAGAAACTGAATCCCAGTACCATCAGACACCTTTAAACCTTTACAGGAGTTTAAAGATACATGGATCATTAGTGAAGACATGTTAGAATTGTTTAATTCATAGACAGTAGAGGCTGGGACTCTCACACTACAGTATACCTACCACTGAAAGCAGTGCAGGCTTCTTACATTAGTGTGTGTTAATAATTCAGAAGCTCAGACATATTCAGACAATGTCCTGATCGCATTGGAAACCCTATCGGTGTCACACTTCTAAATGTTTCATGGTGACTTGCAGATATAGTGGGACAAATAATAAGTCAAGGCAAAGTAGAGAATAAAAGGTTGCATGAAATGTGAAGAAAAACATTGTTATTTCTTACAAATTAAGGGATTACTTTAAGTTGTTTAAATCACCACGTTGACAGACTAGATGTCGTATATTCAAAAGTTACAGAATCATATCATCTAGAGCAGTGGTTCCCAACCTTTTTCCTTTCTACACAATTCTCTGTCTGTATTATTACATTTTATTTATTTAACAATCATACTTATCATCTAAGCAAACCATTTCATTTAGTTTACTTTACAGAAATGATCCAAATGCTTACCTATAGACCTACAGTGTATATGTTTAAAGTTTTCTTACACCCCCAGGTTGGGAACCACTGACCTAGTGTGACTTTTTTTGGAAATTGCACTGTACCAGTTGATGATAGGTGTGGTGTGGACTCCCAGTGGGTGACCTCTGGCTGAGAGAAGCCCAGACTCAGGTTTTGGTTCTGGAGGAATCCCATCCCTGCTTCCAGGAGCGCCTCCTGTGCAGCCGGGCAGAGGCATTTGCTTGTATTTACTTACATCCTGGCAAAGATTGAAGTTTCCCCTCTGCACACTAAAGGAATCAAATCTGTTTCATATTTTGTTTCAATCTGGCTTTAAAAAGAAGTTAATGTTACAGGCTGTACGAGCACTGAAAACATTTGTAAGAGAAGTTGCTGATAAGTTTTTGTGAATGTAGTGGAGCCAAATAAAGGGGAACAGAAGCTCTGTGACTGTGTAAAACTTTAAAGGGGATTTTGAACTGTGAGCAGGAATCCATTCAAATAGGTGGCATCTGTTAACAACCATATTAATGAAACAAAAAAACAACTTGAAGCTGAAGAATCAAGAAATTAAACCTGCAACCTCTAAACTACACTGCAAAAAAGGAATCTCAAGAAAGTAAATGGGAAATGAGTCTTATTTTTTGTATAAAAAGATAAATAATCTAGCATGTTTTGCATTAGAAAAGTAATCATGTTTTAACAAAATATATCCAACTTTGTCTTAATAAGATAATACAGCTAATATTGAGCTAGATTTAACCAGTAACAAGTTACAACAATGGTTTGCATAATATCCCAGCAGAGGAACAAGATTATTTTCATTATTTTAAGAGTAAGACTGCTTGTACAACTTCTCAGTTAAAGATAAAATAGTCTTTTCTCAGAGTTTTTCATTGTTTTATGCTATTATACTGTTTGAAGAAGTGTTTTGCTAATTATTAATCTTAGATTAATTCTAAAATTCAGCTCAATAATGTGTCCAAAATACTTACTTTAACAAAGTCTATCTTAAATAAGTGAGTTTTCATTGCTTGTAATAAACACAACTTGCTTACATGCTAGTTTTAAGGCCCAGGTTTTAAGGTCTTTCAGTGGCTGGAGTTTTGTGCTAGTTTTAAGAATTCTCATTGAACAAAAATTGGTTTACCCTACTGGCAGATTTGTTTGCTCAATCGAAGACATGGGATTAAGAATATTTTACTTGTTTCTACGAGGGCTATTTTTGCAGTGTGACTGCCATCTACTCTCCCACTATGACCAGAGAATGACATTTATAGGGTTTGCTAGACCCAAATACAGCTACACAGATGATGATGTAGCTGGTGGTTTGTTATCTGCGTTTACTGACTAATAAATAATCTGATTAACTGAAACACTGAACTTAAATAAATGATTTAACACAAAAAAACAAACAGCTAATGTTGGGAAACAAGGCCACGTGAAAAGGAGAAGACAGCAGTGAGCCAATGAAAATTGATGTTTCATAATGGTACATTTTATCATTTTTCATCTTCATGTTGTTATATTGTGTAGTATTTAAGATTTCTAGTGCTGATAGTCCTCTGCTTATCTTATTTTAAACTTGATTTATTCAAATGTTTCCAGTCTGCTTGAAAACACTGAGGATACTGTGTGAGGGCTGGGGAATCCATTTCATTTTAGAACTTCTAAGTGACAGAAATAATGCATTTTTATGTGTGTAGCGAAAAAAAAATTGAAAATATTCAAGGTATTACAAGATTTTGATGATTTAATCGTGTCAGTGTGATATTAAATGTTTATTCTAGAGTGAAAGGTTCAAATGCTGACTTTAATTATCCAAGTCTCCCTCTTATCTCATCTACAAACTAGCCTTAACAACCTTTAATAAGTTACAGAGCACTAAGCACGGTGTAAACATGCTGAACTTTGTTTCTAAGTGTGTGAGTGAGTTTGTTGAAATAAGCACATACAGAGCAGAGTAAAATATAAAACAATAAAAGTATAAGTATACATATATATATATACTTATACTCACATGTAGACATCATCACACAAACTAAAACACATGCCAAAATGATATTAAACTTTTGTGTAGGAAACCAAGAGCCCGGTGAAGAGCAATGTAGAAGATGAAGCTGTTTTCACAGCTGCACAGACTGAGCCAGAGCCCAGCCTGATGCAGGAAAATACTTTAAATAACCAGTGTAAAGAAAAGTCTAAAAGAAATTACAGTAATGTACTGACCTTACAGTCGCTGCTTCTCTGTGTTGGAAGTTGCTGCTGCTGCTGCTGTCCAAATGAATATATTTTTGGGTTCAACTGCAGCAGAGAATCAGCTCAAATCCCTTCATTAAGGTTCCTCAGAAGTGTGCTCCCCTGCTGGCTTCATGTGGGACGTCAGACAGCTGAGCCTTCGCATACAAAAACATGTTACTCTACGTTCAATGGGGACGTGGCCACGATGGAGAAACACATATTTGTTTGAAGTTCTCAAGGTAAAAGTTCTGATCAGTGTGAGTGGAGTGGCAGCCTCAGTTTTCAGTGGAGAGGCAGGTACATGTGCAATAAGTAAGCTATCCACAGGACTTTGTTCTACCCTCCATGCCTGAACACTGTGAGCGACCTCTCCACGTGGTAATGATAGTAAATGTCATTATACAGTGACAGTACTCACAAACCCTTCAGTGTCACTGTCTTGTTGAATGTTAATGCTTAAATAGTGTTCAAAATGTCTTCTAAAATAAACTTGCACAAAGAAAGTGTTTCTATCAGACCTTATGAGGAGCCAGGAACTAAAAACAAAGTAGCTACGTTCACATGGACCTAATGTTCTGTTTCTAATCAGTTTAAAAGCCCTAACAGAATAAAAACACTGCACCTCAGTCAGTATAAACAGGCCCAGACCGATGAAATTTCAATCAGTGGCAGAGGGGTAGTTTTCATAAACCAATTAGAAGAAAAATCGTCCGTTTTAATCAGATTATTTAACGACTGCTTTCTCTCTGCCCTCTGCCTTGAAGTAAATGCGTGGGATGTACGTTTCTCCACTTCCAATAAATGGCAGCTTCCAAGCAGAACCGGATCTCTGTTTTTGATAAAAACTCTTAAAGAAGATTGGATATTGGATGCCTAGATGGTAGGAAAATGAGAAAAGTGACCTATTCAAACAAGTCCAAGAAAAAATGAAGGAAGCCGGGATGAACCTGGAAAGGTAGCCGTTGAGGAAGATGATTGCATGATACATGCACACAGCTGTTTAAATTAAATGCGTCAGACCATATTATGATGTGTGAACAGTTAACCCCAAATCTTCAATCGGAAGGATTTTAATTCATTTGAATTCTTTTTAATAACCACAGGAGACACAAATGGACATGTGCAAACACCTGACGCTGTTTTATTCATGTCTTCCAGCAACCGTCTTCTTGGAGTTCTGGAAAAGGCGCAGGGCTGTCCTTGCATACGACTGGGACCTCATCGACTGGGAGGAAGAGGAGGTGAAGTGCTCACTCCATGTGGTCATTTCAGTGTGGGAATTTCTGTGTCTGTAGCTAATCTGCTCCCTTTCAGATATAATGAATGCCGTGAGTGGAATTTTAAAGAGCGGATAGACAAAGTTGCTGCCATTTATATTTCCATTTAGAGTTCTTTTTTGTAGTTTTATTATCTAACTAGTTGCTTTTTGACTTCGCCCAAAGAGATTTCTGCTCAACAATGTTTCTGCCTTCACAGCAGCTCTGCCCTTTAGAAAAATGTTTGCCTACTTGTGCTTTTTCAGTCTATGCCAGTCTGCAGGCATTTTTAAAAAGGTGGAATTGTTGTACTGAAAGCCTGCACCAAGGGAGTCTGTCTTAAATCAGTTTATTACTCACTGAAATGTACAATTCTATTAACACTTTTTACAGTGAAATCTCTCACAAATTCAGACACAGTTGTCATATTCCAATTTGTCAGAATTTTTGGTGGGTTTATAAAGTTCTTGCCTGTCAACCTCCAACCCTCGTCTGTCAATCACACTCAAACTGGAAAACGTGTTCTTTGAAAGACTGCTGTTTGTGGGTGTGAAAGTGACTCAGAGTCTCAGTCTGCTTTGTACAGAACAGAAGACAAGACAGAGTTAATAAACTCATCATAATAGAGAAAAACCCATCCAAAGCTTCTAGATATAAAAAGGTGGCTAACTGCAGAATGCAGCTAGTTATAAGCTTGTGGGGTCAGTGACAGCATTGACACCTTGAACATGCTGGATGATAAATCCCCCCAAAAAATCACCATTAAACTGAAATCATTTCTTTACATTTCAGGCAGATCTTTGCAGTGTACAAGCTAGAAACAGCCTTGTGTCTGAAGCACGGGCAATCTGAAATAATAGTTATGAGTTATAAATTTCACAATTTATTAGCTAATCTATGTTTATTTTATTATATTTATTAATATAATTTATTAAGGTTTGGAATTTAATATGGAACATCCTTGGGCTCTGAATGAATGAGAGCCTAACATTTAATTTAAGCTGCAGTAGATAACTTATAAAGAATAATGATCTGCCCAAAACGTAAATAAATGATTTCAGCTTAATGGTTTAAAGAGTGGATAGACGAAGTTGCTGCTATTTATATTTCCATTTAGAGTTCTTTTTTTGTAGTTGTCACAATGTAGTGAAAGTTTCAGCAAACATGACAAAAGATTTTTTTAATAAAAATGACCTACTGCAGCTTTAAACTCAATGGACCCCAAATGATTGTCTCTAGAGTGGCACGAATAAATGTAATTGTAAATTGTAAACTACAACTAGAGGTTACAGGGGAGAAAAATAATATTACGTCTAGTTGTACAGCCACTAAAAACACTGATGAAACTGACACAGGACAGCTATGTTACTTTACAGCCCCAAATACTGGACGTACATTTCAGAGCTTTTAGGGTGTTAATCTCCAAACAATGATCAGAGTTTGGGTTTAAAAGAGATTCCCTCTACTGTTCACTGTCTGCCGTTAAACCACTGCCTTCAATAATTAGCTAACTGCTAGCTGGACCTCATATCTACTTACATTCACCAATCTTTTGGTGTTTTAAGAGTGTTTTGTCCTTTGTCTTTCAGGACGAAATACGTCCCCAGTTCGAGGCCAAATACTCCAAGAAGGAGAGGATGAACCCCATATCTGGAAAGCCTGAGCCCTACCAGGCCTTCACTGACAAATACAGTCGCCTCATCGTCTCAGCGTCCGGGATCTTCTTCATGGTGAGTTTCTGGGGTACATAAATGTCAACTAGCAGGTGTGCCACCCTTACCTTTTTATTTATTAAAAGGTATTTTAATGGAAAGTCCTGGTTGAATATATTGATATTCTTTGGCAGTGCCTTGTATTAGTAACCCATCATGTGGGTTATTTTGTTTGCATAGGAGCCAGTTTAACAAATTATTATATATATATTTATATTGCTAAATGTGTTTTTGTGTCAGTTTTTATGCCTTTCTTAACTACTGAGTGTGTTATATTGTTCCATCTATTGAATCTCACTCATTTGTATGTACAATAAGGCACTATTTTGCATATTGTAAAGTACTTGATGATTTTCTTTTTTATAATGTAAGTACAATGTGTAGTTGATATTTATTGTTATTGTCAGTAATGGTATTTTTGCACGTCACAGATCCTGGTGGTGATAGCTGCTGTATTTGGCATCGTCATTTACCGTGTAATCACAGTCAGCACCTTCGCCGCCTTCGGCTGGGCTCTCATCAGGAACAACTCTCAGGTGGCGACCACGGGAACAGCAGTCTGCATCAACTTCTGCGTCATCATGCTCCTCAACGTGGTGAGTGTCTGCTGTCCTTCAGCAGCAGTGGTGCAGAGATGAAGTGGGACATAAAAAGAATTCCAGGCAGTGATAATCAACCAAGATAGAAAAAGACAAGATGCTTTTGCTTTTGCATTTGTACATATAAAGAGTAAAAGAATATGTTTTTATGGCCAATGTTGTATTTTTTTTCTAGCTCTATGAAAAAGTTGCTCTTCTTCTGACTAATTTAGGTAAGTTGACTGCACCAGCAGATCTAATATTCTTGAGGCTGAAAGGGCATTTTTAATTCAGACTTAATTACTACTAAACATTGTACTGGCTCAGTACTGACCATACTGTATTGCAGTCAGATGACTTTGATCCAACTCTTTTTGTTCCATGTAAATTAATCACTAGTCACTTTACTCAAAGTATGTAAGGTCTGCATGCATTTGTTAAAGTACTGTGCTGCTCGAGTGTCTGTATGTCCATACAGTCTTTGTTCCTCCTTTCTCTCCGTGCCACCACAGAACAGCCAAGGACAGAGTCAGAGTGGGAGAACAGCTTTACCCTCAAGATGTTCCTTTTTCAGTTTGTCAACCTCAACAGTTCAACTTTCTACATCGCCTTCTTTTTGGGAAGGTGCGGAAGTCGTGCAGAAATACAGTAACTACAGCATGTGCCACTGCAGATATGACACATTCATGCACCTCACAGCCACAGTGGATGCATACAGTAACAGTGATAATAATAATATAGCCTGTTTCATACATAAGTAATAGCAAAAGATGAAAGAAGACATGTAGAAGAAGACAGAGAAAGATATTTAAGAGGTACATTTTTGAAATGATTAATACTGTAAGAAAAACAACAATAGAAGAGAATCTCAAATCTACAGGAAGATTGTTTGAGAATTTGCGAGTATGTATAAACTAAATCCAGCCCCACTGTAGGCTTACAGGCGTCAGAAAACAGCCCTGCGTTCTCTTCACAGAACTCCCCATGGGACAAACAGGATTCTCAGCTTTTGTAATAGGTTAACCAGTCAAGTGTAACCTCTCAAAATGGAGATTTTAAAATCTAGTATATTATTTTAATGGCATTCAAGTCCATGACGTTTACAGCTTTGAGCAGAGTGGATCCGGGGAGATTTTTTTCTACTGTTATTTTTTTCTTTTTGTGATGCTATATCTCCATTTTTTCTTTGGTTTGTCAATATACACGTCAGTATGTTAGATATTAAACACATCAATCACCATTGCAAAGTCTGCTGATGTTGAATAATATTAAAGCTGCCACTTGATGTAGGAAAAAACGTAATTTTAAAAATGATTGTTCTTTTTCTTGGTTGACAGATTTACAGGCCGGCCTGGTGCATATCTACGCCTCATCAATCGCTGGAAATTGGAAGAAGTGAGTCATTACTTTGCTCTCCCATGGTAGAATAACAGCAAAGCGTTATGGATCTAAGTATTTCTAAATTGGACACTAAGCTATTACTGTATGCCCAACCACCAGGCATTTAACCCCCACCAACAGTAAGCGCTGCTGCCAGCAGTACTTATGGGAACATGCGGGGAAACAACACACTGAAGTGGTCTAAGGGGACAAAAGGCCTGAGCTGGCGCTTTTAGGTGCTGAGCTAATGCGCTCCCACTTGTTCCCACAGCTGCTGGGAAAATTCTCTCTAATGTGACATGTACAGTACAAGTGCAGCCTCAGTCAGCCTCTTTATGGCCATGTAATGTACCTGTGCTGCACAGGATACAGCTATATAATAATGTCAGAAGGAAGAAATTACAGCATAAAGCAATAAAAAAAGCAACAGTTCTTTGCAAGTCAGGATTGTCCATATTAAAGTCTGAAACAAATACAAGATACACTTAAAAAGAGAAAAGTGGCTACTATAAAGTACTAAAAACACTTGATTTTTGAGTGAAATGCTGTATACATCGCCAGACTAATTCACAAATGAATATTAGTTTTTAACCTCTGTTTTTCCCAAATTCCCAAGGTGCATTATCAGTAGGCGAAGAATGAAAACAATTGGATTGACCTACAACCAATCAGAGCAGCCAAATGAGTGACGTAGCGCTGAGGCACACGTTTGACACGTCAGGGCGGTGCTTGGTCCATTTATATTTGATGAGCACTGCCTAGTTTGACAGTTTGATCTGAGCTGCAGACTGCACCACAATGTGACATTCTTTTTAATCTGGACCGACCGGTGACTCTCCTCTGTCAGTCATCGTATAAAAAATTCCCTGGCTCTATATCTTGAATGATGCATGTACTATACACTAATCTCTACAGTATCAATAAATTAAATTAAATCATACAATATGTGTGTGATGTTTACCTCAATCGAACTACCAATTTGTGCCCACCAATTAAAATTCAGAAAAAATGTAATACCATTGGTTTGGATGTGTTTTACCATTCGTATGACTGCATTTTACTTTCAAACCCGGCTTAAGCAAGCATAAAAAAGGTATTTCCAAATGTATTTTTTTTAATTTTGCCATTTCCATTCAACTTTTCTGATGCAATACTTCAAAATGTCATAAAACTGTGCTGATGGAAACGCAGCTAGTGGCTTACACAGTTTACTAAACCTGACAGAAGAATGGCCAGTGTTCTGCTGCAATGCCCAGTGCATTAACCTTTGCTTATATTATAAAAAGTTCCATTATACATTACATCATACATTATTGGAAAGGGCTACAGTTTGATTTGATCCTCTCTCTCTCTCTCTCTCTCTCTCTCTCTCTCTCTCTCTCTCTCTCTTCTCTCTCTGTGGTTCTGCAGTGTCACCCCAGTGGCTGTCTCATTGACCTCTGTATGCAGATGGGGATCATCATGGTGCTAAAACAGACCTGGAACAATTTCATGGAGCTTGGCTACCCGTTAGTGTTTTTTTATATAACCTGCAAATGTCTGACACACCAATATGTGTCTGACCAAACAAAAAAATTAAATATTAATATCTAAAACCAGAAATATCCTCAGCCAGATATAGTACCAGTCGACTGTATTGCTGACCTGTAATAGCAGATGAAATTAGATCCACTTGTGTCTGTACTGAGTCAATCGTTTCTCCTGTCCTCTGTTGTTGTTTGTTCTGTTGTTGTTTTGCTAGGCTGATCCAGAACTGGTGGACACGGCGGAAGCTGAGGAGAGAGCACGGACCGAAAGCCAAGGCCAGCTTCCCACAGTGGGAGAGAGATTATAATCTACAGCCAATGAATGCCTATGGACTCTTTGATGAGTACTTAGAAATGAGTATGTTGCAACTGAAGTGCCATACATACGTTTACAACCATATTGCCACATTCTCAAATGTCAGATTTAAGGTTATTCCAAATGCACTGCACAGTTTAATCTTCTATAATGCCATGTTGGGAACAATGAAAGATTTTTTTTCATTCGGTGACCCAGCAGCCGCAGCGCTTGTTATGTAACTGTGACACTGATTTGCTGTGGATTGAATTTGGCTGGGAGCCTGTCCACATGCTCACATCTTTATTGTTGCCCTTCACTGACTTACCAAATGAGTCAAACATTTAAATAGGAAAAGGAAATGTAAAAATAGTTGTTCATTCACATTTCTGACTGAGTGAGTTGGACCAGCGCGTAGGATTTAGTGGCAGTGTAACAACGCCCTCACCCTCACCCTCACCCTCACCCTCCCGTTCCAAGCTTGTAGGAGAAACTTTAGTGACCCACTCCCTCTGTAGATGTGCAGTTTCCTTCAACATTTTAGCGTCTTTCAGCTCATTGTTTTGGTATTTCAACTGCCGTTTCACAACTTTACTGTTTGCTCCATATCTGTTGGATGTATAAATGTGCAACTGTATGCTAACATGTTAGCCATGATGAACATCTACAGGAATTATGGGACCTTGTGGTTCTTGTGTTTGTTTCAGTTTTACAGTTTGGCTTCACCACCATCTTTGTGGCAGCCTTCCCTCTGGCCCCTCTCCTAGCGCTGCTCAACAACATCATCGAAATTCGTTTAGACGCCTACAAGTTTGTCACACAGTGGCGACGACCTCTGCCTTCCCAAGCCAAAGACATAGGTAAATCAGGAACAAGTAAACTTGATCTTGATCTGAAATGTTTCTGTTTTATATGTTTTTAGGCATAATTTAATGTCTAATTGTATTTAGGGATCTGGTATGGCATTTTGGAGGGCATTGGCATCTTGTCTGTCATCACCAACGCCTTTGTCATCGCTGTTACCTCAGACTTCATCCCTCGCCTTGTTTACGCCTACAAGTATGGGCCTTGTGCTGGTCAGGGTCGAGCAGGGGAAGGGTGAGTGAATAAGCTGGACTCTCGATCTTGAATCTCGTTTGTTCCTTTGTTTCTTTAGATTTAAAGTTTAAATACGCTCAAGTGTTGACTTAACTGATTTCTCCTGATGTCCCTTAGGTGTATGATGGGTTACGTCAACGCCAGTCTCTCAGTATTCCGAGTGTCTGACTTTGAGAAAAGATCGCAGCCCAAGACTACTGGCTCTGAGCTGTTTGGAGACGCTGTGAAGTATTGCAGGTAGGGCGTGTGTGTGTCTGCACCAGCAGCTCTCAGTGCTTAAGATGTTAAAAATATTCTATTTACACATGTTTTTTCTGTGACCAAGACAGGATTAAGTTTTTCCCAAAGAATCTGCTGAACTAAAAAAAGGCAACACTCAGCAGTGTATTCATTTTTTACAGGATTTGGCTGTAAGTATTTGTGCAACCCCAGAGAGGGGATTGTGTAACCTATTTTGTGTGTGTTCAATCATCACTTTATTAATGATCCCTATTAAGCAACACACAGGCTCTTACTGAGCTCCACATGAAATATAAATCACAAAATATACAGGTCAAACCAGAGCGTAATATATAATGCAGAAGCCAGCTTTAACAAGAATAAATAAACACACAAAGGTCATTGAAAGCAAAGGTTCTCTCATTATACAGAAACAGCAGTGCAAGATTTGGTGAGTAAGAGAACCTGAAGCTAAAATCATCTTTTGTACACAAGATATTTTAAAGCTAAACATGAAATTTAACAACTCAAGGGAATTTTAGTCAGATTTGTTGTTTTTTCTGTCGATTGTTGAATCACTGACACGAATAGCTATCGTTAGAGCTACTTTCCGTTGACCTTTGAACTCATCTGTTTGACTCACCAGGTATCGTGACTACAGGGAGCCTCCAGACTCTGCTGAGCCCTACTCATACACTCTGCAGTTCTGGCACGTCCTGGCAGCCCGGCTAGCATTCATCATTGTGTTTGAGGTCATTGTTTTTCTAATCTTTGACAAATGACAGCAGACAGAAGGCTGGGTTTGGAATGGATTCCTTCAGATTGGTTTGTCAATGCTTTTTACCTTTCCTTCCCCAGCCCTGAGTGCCCCTCTACATCTTCTTCAACATTCTGATCCAGTTTGCTCACAGCTTTGTCTACAAACCAGAGCGCTTCCGATGTCAAAATCCTGGTTCCTTGCCTACAGATTCTGCATTCTTCAGCAGATATCTGTTTTTAGAGATTAAAACTAGACTAACTCCAATTGGCTTTCTTAGAAAATTGTTTCAAAATGCCTCAGATTCATCTTTGTCTTGAATTACCTGGACCGATTTCCTCCAGGAGTGTCAGAGTTACACCCGAGCTTAAAACTTTTCACCGCTGCAGCCAAGACTTGCGTTGTTGTCACAAATGCTGATCACTTACAGGTTTTTGATAATGTATTTGTGAACATTTGAAAAATAGTCCTTATCTTGCCTTACTTTACCTAATTTCTCAATAGATGGAAATAAGCTCAAGCTATGTTAATATGACATTTTTAAACAAATCAGACTCTTTTAAAGCTAGTTGACAACTAAGTTTCCATCTCACAGTGCGTGATAAACTCCCTGTGCTTGGGGTGTTTGGTTTGTTTTCATTGTGGAGGTATGGCTCTGGCATTTGTGATAATGTACCATATGCTGTACTGTGTGTTTACAGCATATGGTCTTTGCCATCAAGACCCTGATCGCGTACCTGATCCCCGACCTTCCCAAGGACCTGCGGGACAGAATGCGCAGAGAGAAATACCTGATCCAGGAGATGATGTATGAGGCTGAGTTGGAGAGACTGCAGAAGGAGAAAAACGAGAAGAAGAAGAAGGATAAGGCCCATCATAAGGAATGGCCCTGAATGCACCAACTGGTACTGCCAGAGATTCAGAAACAGTTTGTTCAAGAGATTATTCAGCTCTGTTCATGACTTGTGTGGGGTTTGGTTTATTACACCAAAGGAATCTACTGTTTGCTAAACCCCCTCCCCTGAACAGGGATTGGCCAATCATAGCTTAGCAATCGTAACTAGGCAAGGCAGGCCTATCAAGCTTTGGATTTCTCCATGTTTGGACGGTGGTGTATTTTTGTTTTCTGCTCTTACACAGATTTGAAAGTGTAAAGGATGAATTCAACTGTGTGTTTATCTGCTCTAATCCGTCCAGATTGTTGCAGCCTAAAATACCTGATTTCATGGCAGCTTTCCTAAAAAAAAAATTGCAATGCATGTTACGATGTTTTTAGGCATTTTCAAAAATAGTTGCTTTTTTGTATTATTCATTGAAAATCAAAGGCAGCTTGTTCCTGAGAGAATAAAATAGCTAGTAGTTTGGTGACATATGGCTCAACATTTGCACAGTGGGCTACTATGATTGGTGAAACTCGTAGGACACTACAGAGATCGGTCAGATTTGGGGAAAAGTTGCGGGGATTGGAAAAAAATTGGAAAAAAGATGTTGCCATGGCAACTTCCTGGAGGGGCTGTCTAATGTTAGCTGCAACCAATAGCATGTCTGGCTAACTAGCTTACTACCTACAGTCGTAACACGAAGAAGTGTATCATGAACTAACCTCATTAGTATGTGGGGTTACATTCAGAAGTAGCCCCGTTCACGACTACCATATCTACGCTGTGTTTTCCCGCTGTGTGGAAGCTAGCCCGGAATGCTGTCAGAGTTTAGGATAACGTTAGCGACTCTGTCCAGCCGCTGTTACTGAAGATATTTATTTTCCCCTTGTCATGTTAAAATAAAGTGTACGCTATGCAGCCAAACTTTTTTGGCAAACTTGTTTTAGTTTGAAATTCTGGTCTCGTTCATTTTTCCTCAGTATACCTAGGGCTATTAGGACGAACTAGCTTTACACTGCAGTACAAGAGTAATGCAGTTTATTTGAGGCAGCATGTCGACATGGCTTGTTTACGTTTTTCCCCTGGGACATGTAGCTTTAACCTTAGTTTGTTAGCTCAGTATGATGTACTGTATGTGGCCGTGAAGTGCATATTTAAAGCCACTTTTACATGATAAAAGTAGTAGTAAGTAAAATAGATTTTCAGTGGCTAGAAAAGAAAAGTCTTGTCTACCTCTGTCTGAAATCAAGGATCCATTCTTTCAAATATTTCTACAAATTTTGGAAAACTTGACAGGTGTAGCAACAGTAATTCAGCTAACAGTGTATTAATACTGAACTAGTATACATTTTAAGATCCGAAGCAGGGTTTTTTTTTTGCATCCAGTTTCAGTTTTAGTCCACTAACAGTTAAATTACATTTTATCATAGAACAGATCAAATCTACTGAAATCATGCTAGAATAGTCGAAAACAATTTAAAATGAATTTTAAAAGGCCAAAATCAAGTTTCAACAAAAAATAACAAAAACAGAATTCATACAGAGTTCATTCAAAGTTTTTGTATTTCCAGACCTTAGCTGTGTCAAAATAGAAATGAAAACATTTAAAGTATAACGCTGTATGTTTCCCAGTGTTAACAGGCCTTACCTTACAGTTTCTCTTATTCCCAGGTTATCAGCTGGTGTTTGGTTTTCACTGCACAGTGGAGGAAGGAGAGGAGCGCTGGGTTTCCTGCATGATACTGGACCCTCATACCTTCCTCCTGCCATGTCAGACCAGCACCTCCTAGTGGACAGTTGATGAACTGCAAATCCTGCAGGGCCACTCAGTGGACACAGAACCCATGTGTCTGCATACATAACAGATGTCCTCTTGAACATTTGGCTGCAGGTTTTGCTACTTTTTTTTCTTTTTTCCTCCAGATAGTTTCTACCACTTTGGACTCTCAACAGCGTATGTCTTCAGATCCTGAATGTAGATTTCAAGCAAGACTTAACTTTTACAGATTTCTTGTATTAGATGAGAGAAATAACTCTCCTGAGCTTACTGAATGACAAACCCTGTTTACATTTCTCCTTGTTGGAGGAGTTCACATTTTGCTTTATTGTAAATAAAGGCATTTAATTGAATGTCAGGCCATCTGCTCTGCTAAAGTGTAGTGCAATAAAAACTAGAGAATGCAATTTCTTCAGAAATTGCGGTGGGATTGCTGGCTGCTAAAAAGCTGACACTGAGCCGTATTGCTTCATGTAGAGTTGGGCGCTAAACTGCATTGCTTGAAAAGCTGGAAGCTGAACTGTATTGCTTCATGTACAGATGGGAGCTGAACAGAATTGCCTGATGGATGGCTGGGAGCTAAACTGCATTGCTAGCTTTACTTTATATGAAGGAGCAGTTAGTGTGGGAATAGTTGGAAAGGGGTGAAGGGTGCAAAATCTAGTGTAAGAAATGAAAGGTTTAGGAGCTTTAGTTTCAGGACTTAAATGAGTTAAAGTGTGCAAAGGAGTTGAGGTGTTATTCAAGATGAAATAAGGGTAAAACAGCTTAGAACTACGCCCAATAACAACTGCAATGAGCTACTGTGTACTAGAAGTTGAGTTGTATGTGTGCGTGTGGGTCTATGTGTGCCTATGACCATGTGTCTATGTCATTGTTATCACTAACACCTGTGTTGCTGCCTTAAAGCCTTCTGTGAGATACAGTATGTGGCAGCAGTTTCACAGAAATGTCAGTCAGTTGTTTTTTACACCTTTAAACATGCATGCATGCATGTGTTTCTCCTAACTGGACATATATGTGGACATTTCTAAAATTAGGTCCTTGTTTGAAGGGCCGTGCTTTGTGTGCACGTGTATCTGTGTGCCTGTGCGTGTGTGTGTGTGTGTGTGTGTGTGTGTGTGTGTGTGTGTGTGTGTGTGTGTGTGTGTGTGTGTGTGCATCACGTCAGTTCAGAGTCCACCAACTGCAGTTAGCTGGCGAGAGAACCCAGACGGTCAGACAGGAGTGTGACATGAGAGGCAGGAAGCAAGGAAAAGAGTAAGAAATAGCAGTTACAGTTATTTTTATCTTACAGTTAGTAAAGTGTTCAAATGTTTGTAAGTTAACACCTGTGTTTATCTGAAATAAAGCGACTGTGACACCGCAGTCCAATCAGAGAAGCAGTCTGATTGGCTAAACTCATTCAGCTGTGTGTCCCCGCCCGCAACTGACGGTTGCCATGGTGATGGTAACTGCTGAGTGACTCCTGCCTCTGACAGTTCAGAGATTAAGCAGAGACGGACCACTCAAACGCTAGCTCAGTGGTTCCCAACCTGGGGGTCGGAGCCCCCACTAGAGGTCGCCAAAGCTTCATGGGGGATCGCAAGGCCTTCTTGATTTCAAGGCGTGTAAGAAACGTAAGAAATATACACAATATATTTATACGTCAGCATTTGGTTTACTTTGAATAAAAGCTAAAGTAAAGTAAATTGTTATGTAATTTGTCTAATAGAACAATAGCCACCAGAGTGTTAAAAATGTATTTAAAAAATACATAAGACTGACAAAGAGGAAAATGTTGGGAACCACTGCTCTAGTTTATTACTCAAACAGCACAATTCCTAACTCATGTGTTTGTGGTGTCACGAATGTGGGAAACTGTGAGTTAAAAAATTCCCCCTTTCTGCTTTGCTCCTGAACTTTCTGGTCTCAGTTAACATTGGAGTCAATGGTGCAGTGGAATGGTACTCCTGACACTTTGAGGCTTACAGCGCCAAATGTGTAGGATAGTTACATTGTTGGAAAGGGGATGAATTTTTCTACATTTTGATGAAGAAATTACGTATAACTGCGCAGGAGTAAGAGGAAGTTGAGGAGAGTTTTTAAAGAAGAGTATAACGCACTCTTGTGTAATGTCGCCCACTCTTATTTTGAACATTCTGCACATTTATTTCAAAGTAAAAATATCCAGTAAAATGTTACATATTTTGGAAAGTGTGAAAGATACAAACACTTAAGTAGTTCCAAGAATGTCCTCAATGAGCTGAACATTTAAGTTAAACGGTGTGAACAAAGAAGAGTAATGAAAAGAAACGGAGAAGACCGGATAGATGGGATTGCAGCTACTGCCCAGCAGTCCCACCGATAAACAGAAACTGAGAAAAACATAGATGGGATTGCTCGGTCAGCAATCCCACCAATAAATGTTGCTTAGAGATCTATTCTGTCTGAGCTGTGGCAGTGCCCACAGTTGGCTTAAACTGAAAATGCTTTCCATTTGAAACTAGATGAATAACTGCAGTAATAAACATTATTTATTGTAAAGAAATTTGACTTGACTATCTGTGTCTTTTTTATGGGTTTGTAGTTTTCTCAAATGTTTCCTCAAAAAGGGATATAATTTGGTAGAAAGTATCAGGAAAGAGACAGTGTTCAGTTATTATACTTCCAATTTATTAATTCCAAACCAGTGTCCACTTCCAAAAGTGTCTACAGGCAAGCAGGTAGGAATTCTGGGGACAAAAATGCTGAATTCTTTATTTATCTGGTTCCATTATACTGGAGAGAAAGCCGATACCTCTTATACTCAGAAACTCACCAAAACAATCTAGATGAAAAATATGCATTTTTGATTTAGTGCTGAAATGTCCCTTAAACTAGTAATTCTCTTTCACACCACCAGAGGGGGTCAGAGTATTTAGTTACACTTTAGCAGCAGCGGACTGTCACATAGGTTTATTGTCATTCTTCTCATAATAATATCATTAAATAATAATAGTATCACTACGTTTGAACTATTGAACATGTATTGTCAAATCAATCCCAATACATCAGTATTTCGGTGCACCACTGGAGAGATGAAAGGGGGGAATGTGTTGACTGTGTTAAACATCCTTCAACCTTCACACATCTTTGTCTGAATATAAACTAAGATTTGATCACTGTGCAGCTGGCCTCAAGGCTAACCAGCTCGTTATTCCTCTCAGATCAGTTGGACATTCACCTTTATCACTCAATAATGTATGAGGAAACACAACACTGCCTTCACATTTATTATACGAGGAAAAGGTATTTCAAATATCAGAGTTTGCATTTAACGTTTGACTGTGTGGATGAATTTGCATCACCTTCTACACGTCAGACTCTTTTGATTTTGTCCGACAACACAATGCCACCGGGATTGGCATTGTGTGGGACATCCCTGCAGATGCCTTTTAATACCCAAACACATCTGTTTACCCAATGTCGATCACTATCTGGTCCTTTTGAACATACAAATAATCATAGATTAGAGAGCAGAGGCTTTTCCTCCAGCATGGATTACTCTGGTGTGGGGGCCTTTGCGCAAACTCCATTTTGATTATTAAAAGCAGGGGACAGGGGAGGCAAACTGTGTTTTGTTTCCTATTAAGGCGACTCTTCTCCTCTCTAAGAGGATTACTGCTGACACACGCTCAGGAGTTACGTAAGGCTGTCAGAGGATAATATTTGACATTTCCTCATATCCTGCATTTTGGCAGCTCGGCACTCAGTGAAATTGGTGGAGTGAGGTGAGGTGTGGTAGAGGGGGTTTGTGGACTCACTTTGCCTCCAGTGGACACTGATGGCATTCTTCATGTGTGTAATGGACAGGCCTCTCACCTTGTTTGACTGGGTTGGTGGCACTGACTTATACAAGTCAGTCAGGGTGGCAAGTATGTGTCTCAGTTTTCCAGTCATTCCCAGTTTATGCAATTCCAACACTGTTTATGGACCCCAGTAGGCAGAAATGGTCAAATACACTAGGTCAAAATAACACATTTATACCACATAGAAAAACTGCATTGATTTTACCCAAACTGCATGGGATTAGCATAAAGTGGGAGACTCACAAGTACCCATTTTTCATTCAGTTTTCATTCCGATATCTTGAGGTCAGAGGTCATGGGATCACACAGAAAATGGCCAAGCCAGTTTTTCCAGTAGTTCATCTAGTTTTATTTGATACCAGTATCTTCACTCTAGCTTTAAAATGGAGCTACAGCCTCGACAGTTGGAGTGGAAGAGGGAAGGATAATCAGATTGCCACCCCCTCTGGAAGCGCCCCTGCATGTGTGTCATCATCCAAATAATATCCTACAATCATCCTAAAGCATGCCATTACTTGTATGACATTAGTAGACTCAATTCTGTCCCTTCATGTTTGATGTCCGTGTAATTGTTGTTGTTCACAGCTGCCATTTTGACATGATACAGTAGGGTAAACACAGGTGTTACCAATGATACTAATTAAGGTTCCGTTCCATTCAGGTCAAGCTTAATTAGTATCATTAGTAACACCTGTTAACCCTACTATTTCATGTCAAAATGGCTGCTGTGAAAAAGGTCTCTTGTTGGAGTTCAGCAAGGTTTGTTCTTCACTCTTGTCTTCTGTTCTGTTTCTTTTTGTGGCAGTTTTCCACCAGTGGGCAAATACATTTAAAATAGGTGGGACACTCTGCTGTTGCAGTGATGTATACTGATGAGACAGGTGTTTCTGAGTGCACATCTCAGCAGCTCTTGTTTGTCTAAGGTGAACTGTGATGACTGCAATTAAAGAACATTTTCAAAAAGTCCAAATTGTGGAGCAACAACGTTAAGAAAAAGATCATCAATATCTTTTCTTGTCCTTATGACCAAAAATGTTCAGGTCACGTTTCCATTTGGTCTCTTTATTTAGCTGACATGTGACCAGCCAACTGACAAGGGATCCATTACTTGATTATATTTATATCTGACTTATTTTTTTATAAAATGCATATTTAATTCTTACTTTAAAGTTGCACTAGTCAATCCAAACATTTCCCTCAGGAGTTGATGGAGACCGAAACAGAGCTAAAAGAAGAGTGAATCTTGGACTTAGATTCTTCAGGTGGACAGAAACACAACTCCAAATTAATGCTCATGTTGCTTTGTGTCTGCTGGGCATAGATAGGCAACTGTAGTCTGCACTGCAATCAAACTGGCTAAAATATAATTTAATGCAGGTTTAATAGTCTTTAGTTTGATCAGCAGGGTCTAATACCACTCCAGTATCCAGTGCCATTCAGCTGTGCTAGCTGTTAGGTGAAATTAGTTTAACCATTACCTTTTCCTAATACTTCTGATCTCCCAGTAGTACAAATAGTCTGCTTGGAACAATAATGTGTGTCTGATATGTTTTTTTTTTCTTCACAAAAAGTATAATTTCCACATTAAAATCTTTAAAAAGTCATCTACTCCTTTTACCTCTTTAAAATTCCAGAATCTAGTTTTCCTGCTGGACACAAGATGTCTACTACTTCACTGTAAAGTCCATTCTCAGTGGATGTGCACTGGTGGAACTGGTGGATTCAAGTTTCTACATCACACTGTACAAGTTGTATACTGGACCAGGACTGACCTCCAAACTATTTGTGATGTCACAAATCATGCTGGTAGGCCCCACCCCTTAAAATCAGATTTTCATTGAGCCCAGAGAAACTTTCCACTTTCAGCAGATGAATGTGAAAACATGCCTCTAGAGTCAAACTCTGCACAGTGTAGGAGGAAGAAGAGAAACTTTTTTTGACTGGAGGGGGACTTTAAAGAGGTAGTGGTTCTCTTAGCACAGTCACCACTTTGTTTTGGATTGGTTGGATTTATTACTCTCTCCAAAGGCCAAAAAACACCAAAGTCTTTGCTGTCTTGACTTGCTGACCATAGATGCTGTTCTGCCGCAGGAAACTGAATTCTACATGCACGAATACCTGGGATCTGCATTCTCTATATAAAGTCAGAACAAAATTGGCAATCAGCAATTTGGAAGAAACTTAATTTAATTCGTCCATCAATGTGGCACATCCCCAGGCTCTGTCTGACTGGCTTTATCAGCATTGTGCCAACACTGGAATCCCTTAAATGGACCATTTTATTTTTCTTCAGGCTATTGCTGAACTTGCACAAATGTTTCTCTTTCAAGATGTAAGAGGAAAGGCAGCCAAACCTTTGTTGTATCAGTCTCAAAATTTCTTTAATGCAATTGCAATTTTAAGCTTACTAAAACTGATTTTATGCCATGCTTTTAAGTTGATTCGAATCTTCATTTGCAATTTTATTTTTTCCACTCTGTTTTGTAAGGAGTTATATCATATTAAAAATTAAAGTATCATCATTTAGAGCCACAGTGTGCACAGCAGTCCAGTTGAGCTTTTTTATATGGACTATCTGAATCCATTAGAGGCTTAAACAGAAGAAACAGAAAGCCCTGCTCCACCACATGTTTTCTTCCCCTCGATCGTAACCTACACGCCGTACAGATGAATCACCCTCGTGCCAGAAACCGCCTCCTTTAAATATCAAGGCTCCAGCTGCCTGGCTACAAATTTCAGATAACGAGCGCTGCTTGTACGCTGCCTGGCAGGTTGTTTGCACTCACAGACATTAGACAGCGAGGCCCTGATGTCACATCCTGGTTCATCGCTGTAAACGCCACGAAAACAAAGAAACATGAAAATAAAACACTCCTGCTGTTTCCTGGCTGCAGTTGCCAGGACGACACAGCTGACAGGTCCGTCTCTATTTCCCTCTTTTTTTCCTCTTTTTCCCTTTCTCCCTGCGTTTCACTTTCTCATTCTGACGGGGTCATTTCTATTTCTATCCCCATATATTCTTGTTGTTTGTTCTAATTAGTGTGGTAATTTGGTAAACTCTGTAAATACCAGAAAGAAGAAATTAAAGTGGTGTTTATTTTTCTTCAGTGCCCGCTACATAAGTGTTGTCCAAGGACTGTACATTTTTGGTTCCAACGGAGGTCATTTGATTGGTTTGAATATCTGTATAAGAGGGCATTTAAAGTAGTTTGCTGTTCACTTCAATTTCAACAGCCACACAAGCACTTACCCAGTTAACAACATTGTTAGCCACTGCTTAGTCCTAGCCATGATTAAAGGACCAGTGTCTATAAGCGTGAGGGAGAAACTTCAGTGGCCGCTAAACGCACGAAAAACCCAAACGGTCGTATCTAGAGCTATTTTTTGTTTGTTTGTCCATTCGGGCCAAAAAAACATGGCAGTTCAACATGGTAGCCGCTAGGGAAGGCGACCCACGACGTCTTTAGATAAAAATAGCTAATTCTAAGGTAAAGAAAACAACATTTTCAGGTGATTAATGAACTAATGAAAACATACCTATGAATATTATATCCAATTTCTGCCAGTAGACCCTAAATGTTACACACTGGACCTTTTGAAAGCTTATGACTCAGCAGGTGTTAGCATGAACAGAAAGAAACCTCATGGGAATAAATGCTAATGTTAGCAAATAGACTAAATGTGGGAGGTGGTTATCCTT